GAGGAAGGGAGGTAACTGGGTTTTATTTATTTATTTATTTATTTCTAGACGAGGTACTGAGGATTGAACCCCAGGACCTTGAGCATGCTAAGCATGCACTTTACCACTTGAGCTATACCCTCCCCTACTCCACTTTTTTTGTTTGTTTGTTTTTGAGTCAACATTTGTATATATTGTGAAGTGCTGTTTCTTTTATTTTCCTGGCTTGTTCCTCTGGAAGGGACTCTGTCTCTGAAGGCATCTAAATTCCTATCAAGAATAATACTGTAAATTAATGCCAGGAAGCCTGAGGGTACCCTTCTCTTGAACTAGAATGTTCTCTGAACATCATACCTGTGTGGTGGGGTATGATGTGCCCCACCCCCAACTTACCCGAGATGATATCAGTGAGTAGATGGTGGGGCAAGTGGAGAAATTCTTCTGTGCTCTGTAGCTGAGCCAGGTGGGCCTTGGCACAGTGCTTGGCAGCTGTGTAGAGCTCAGGATCACTGTGCCGATCTGCCAGCCACATCACCTGAAGGCAGTTGCCCACTTGCACTGTGCGGGCCAAAAACCGAGAACATTCCTCAAAGAGAGATGTCAGCTGATACATGTCTGACACCTCATAAATTTCCTGCAGCTCCTCAGCTCGAAGTTTCACAGTCCCATGGTAGATATAATCAACCAGGAGCTGGAAAACAGACTCGCTGACATCCTGCAGCACAATTACCCGGTTGTGGGCCTCCTTCAGGTTGGAAGTGAACATGGACCGGAAGAAGCAGCTCTGAGCTGAGAGGACCAATCGGTGGAGCTGAAACTCCCGGCCTTCCACTGAAATAGTGACGTCAGCAAAGAGCTCTTCCTCCAGACACAGTTTCATGATGCCCTGAGCCACACGGCCTGAGTGTGACCGATCTTTGAAAGTGTAATTCACAAAGTAGTTCTCATCCATAGATGCTCCAGGCTCCTCTGGTGATTCCATGGTAGTAGCCAACTTCTCTCTCTGCCAGCTGTCTGCAAAACACCACCACTCTGAGTAACTTAAGGAATCCACAGCCACAGTATATGAATCTAAATGTCCAGTTCAGGGAGGGAGAGGAGAAAAGCGAGGGCACAGTGGGCCCAGATTAGCCTCAGTCCCGGCCCTGCTAATGACATCTGATGTTCTCCTTCAACCAAAGCTGGGTTCATTCTCCTGCAGTGACTGCCCATTCCTAATGAAATCCAAATTTCCTACTCTGGGTGCTTCCCTGAGAAAACATGGAATACTCCTTTGCATGGTGTAACAAAAGGCTTGGTATTTAGGTCAACACATGAAAGCAAGGGGTTGGAGGAAGCCTATGCTTTTAAAAGCCTGGCAAAAAGACTTACTAACCAAATAGCTACTGGGCATAAAACTAGAGAGGCTCGGGACAGCAGAACGCGACAAAAAGTCCCCTGCGTCCTTGTGACCATATCCCCTCTTCCCCAGACCTTCCAATTCGACTCTTGGCCTGGTACATCTATCAGCCCCACATTTACTCTTTTCTGAGCCTCTCCCCGGCATTTCCCCGCTCGCCCTAATGACTCTCCAAGGCTTCATCCCAGAACTCGAGACGGAGCCCTGCCATCCGGAGCATGGGACCACCCCCCAGGAGGCACATCGCCACGTGCAGTGTCCCTGCTCCACTTGGAGTCGCCTGGGAGACAGTCGCCAGGGAAACCGTTCTTCTATCCCCCTCCCCCTAGCCATGCCCGCTGGCCCTCATCAAAAGCTTAGCCTAGGGAGCGGGGGAGGGGTGTGGAATTTGGAACCCATAACTCTCGCCGCTTCTCCTCCTCTCACCAGTCCAGTTCTTTAGGATCCTCGCCTTCTCTCCAGCCTCTGTCACACTAAACTAAGGACACATTCACCTCATGATTTCCCCACCTACTGGCTTCGCTTTCTCACCTGCCTTCCCTCCTTTCATTCCGAAGCCCGGAACCCGGAACCTCTGCTTCCGGCCCCTCGTCCGCCCGGAAGGAGATCCTATGCACACTTCCCCTTCCGGTCCCTGCCCTTGGGGCTCCGTGTCCTGCGGGATTGGCCTCGGCCGCCTGGTCTGCATCCGGCGATCATGGCGGCTGCGGCGGCAAGGGGCTGGTGGCGGGGGGCTTGCGGGGTCCGCGGCGCTGGCCAGGGGTGAGCTGGGGGCAGCCGGCTGAGGCCCGGGGCGGGAGCGGCGACGCGTCCAGAGCAGGGAGCCCCTCAGGCCTCCCTCTGGGCTTCAGTGTCTCTATCTTCCTATGCAGTGGCCGCGCGACCCTCGGTGCTGTTGCTGCCGGTGAGGCGGGAAAGCACTGCGGCCGACACGCGCCGTGAGTATGTGAGGGTCGGGCCCTTCTCGGGACTACAGGCGGGGCCCCCCTTAATTACCTTTGTCAGATATTTGCCCTTGTCCTGGGCTGCCCTTCTCTGCGTCCTCCTGGCAAATCATTGCTTGTCTCTGGAGAGCTGATTGCAATGGCCCTCACTCTGCAGGCAGAATCGGGCCCTCCCTATGCTCTTAGGCCTCTGTGTTATGGCCCTATTGCTCCTTGTCAATTTCCATGATCTTTTTTTTTTCCCTTGATTAAACTGTCAGCTCCTTGAGAGCAGGAAACTTAACCTTTGGTTGTCAGAGCACTGTTAAAATAGTAGCTTACGTTAACTGAGTGCTCATTGTGTGCCAGGCACCTTGCAAAGCGATTAATGAATGATCTTATCTAATCCTCACAACATTCTTAGGAGACAGGCAGTGTTATGCTTTTCTACCATAGATCAGGAAACAATCCAGAGAAGTAACCTGCCCAGGATCACAGCACTAATGAGTGACAGAGCAGTCCTGCCTGCTGCCAAAGGCAGCAAAAAACTTAACTCTGCAGCTATGATGTGTGGTTGCTCAGCGATTTAATGTTGCACGGATAAGCATACAGGGATAAGTTACAGTCAACATAGGACGACTGGGAGTCATGCGACCTGGCATTTCCCCCTTTCTGGGCCTCAATTTCATCATCTGTGCAGTAAATAAATAAAAAAGATTTCAACTACATAATCAATGAGGGCTCTTCAGCTCTGAAGTCTTAGCTTGAGAACTTGCTCTGAGCCAGAGGCTGAGAGATACAGAGAAGCCTAAATTCTACTTCTCACCCTTAAAGAGCTCCTAGTCTGGTAAGAGAGCTGAGGCAAACGCTGCTTTAGCAGAAATGCAGGCATTGTGAAGAAAGAACCACGAGGTAGTTCTGAGAAGAGGTAGACACCACAGCTGCAGTAATAAGGTGAGCCTTTTTGGACTGTGTAGGTGGCATTTTCCTGACGTTTTCATCACTTCCTGTTCCCTGGAAAAGGAACCTTCCACCTTCACCTTTCTCAAGGTTCTGGAGGGAGTCCTGACTGGGAGACAACACCCCATACAAGCCCAAGAGACTGAATGCAGGGCTGGCTGCTGCCTTCTACGTTCCTTTCTTATGTATGCTTTCTCCTTCCAGCCACTGTCAGACCACGGAATGATGTGGTCCACAAGCAGCTCTCAGCTTTTGGAGAGTATGTGGCTGAAATCCTGCCCAAGTATGTCCAACAAGTTCAGGTAATATTCACTACTCTTGTTTGGGTCAAGAAAGAACCATGTTCTCAGGGCATGTGGGAGTGGGCAGTCTGGAATCAAAGAAACCACAGACTCCTCCATCCCAACTTGGTTTTCTTTCTCTGTCTTAAACCAGGAGACTCCCCCTGAAGTTTGCTGCTCCCTCTGTAGCTTTGTTACCTTGCCTCTCCTTTTCCATGTCCGCAGGTGTCCTGCTTCAATGAGTTAGAGATCTGTATCCATCCTGATGGAGTCATCCCAGTGCTGACTTTCCTCAGGGATCACATCAACGCACAATTCAAATCCTTGGCTGACTTGACAGCAGTGGATGTCCCCACCCGGCAGAACCGTTTTGAGGTCGGTCAGGAGATTTGAGATTTGGAAAGTAAAGTAAGGAAAGGGGACAGAACTGTTTTAGGGTGGCAGCTACCTATGAGAACCACAGCGTCCTTAGTTTCAGTTCAGGTCAAACAATACAACGCAGCAGTTAAACCAGGGCCTCAGAATCAAGTAGACCTTGAGTGTGAATTCTAGCTTTGCCATTAAAAAGCTCCGTGACTTCAGACATTTTGTTTGATCTTTCAGGGCCTTAGTTTTATGTGCAAAGTAAGTATAAAATTGTCCCTATCTCACACAGTGGTTGTGAGGATTAAATGAGGTAGTACGGGTAGATGAATAGTTCTCAATACTTTAACTATTGATATTTACTGGCTATCTACTTTTTGCCAGATTCTGGGATCAAGAGAGAAATAACACACAATGCCTGCCCTCCAAGAGTCCCCCACACGCTAATGAGGAAGAGGGACATATAAAACAGTTTACCATAGTGACATGATTTATGGGATGTTGGAGAGATGCTTTAAGAATGCAGGGGGAGCACTTAGCCCTGTCTAATAGGCTTTTTTGAAGGGAGAGAGGAAGTCTGTGCTGAATCTTAATGGATAACCAGGAGACCAGGAATTAGCCCAGTGAGGGAGGGCGGGTCGGAGACATCCAATAGCATGAGCAAAGACAAGCATGCTGACATGCTGAGCTATAGTTGGCTTAGGCCTTTGGAAGTGGTTGTAAGTATAGGAGCATCTGGAGGTTTTGAACTTCCAGACAGAAGGCAGGTTCAAAGGCAGGCAGGTTAACCCACCCCGTATCCTCATTGTTATGCTCCCACTCAGGGACTTCCGTCTCAGACCCCTCAACCTGTGGTCACCTTGGTCCTCCAGTTCCTTCCATTCTCCCTAGATTGTTTACAACCTCTTGTCTCTTCGCTTCAACTCACGGATCCGTGTGAAAACCTATACGGATGAGCTGACGCCCATAGAGTCTTCTGTGTCTGTGTACAAGGCAGCCAACTGGTATGAGAGGGAGGTGAGTTATTGGACGTGGTGGACCCTGCCTCTGGGCCTGAGTTGCAGAACTGATAGAAACTAGTGGATACACTGCAGCCCTCACCCCTTTGTTGGCTGTGGTGGCTGGTTGGCTTAGTGCCTCTGTTTTCTAGATCTGGGACATGTTTGGAGTCTTCTTTGCTAACCACCCTGACCTAAGAAGGATCCTAACAGACTATGGCTTTGAGGGACATCCTTTCCGGAAAGACTTCCCCCTGTCTGGCTATGTTGAGGTAGGAGCCTTGGAATGGGCAGCCATCTCAGGGAGGGACTGGTAGGGATCTTGGGCAGAAATTACAGTCTGTGGATTGAGGTGGTTTAAGAGCACTGGTACTGGATTCAAATCCTAGCTTCATTCTGACAATCTTCTCATCTGCAAAATGGGAACAATAATAGTACTTAATTAGTAGATTTGTGGTAAGCTAACTGATGTATGTGCAAAGCTGGTGTATTGTAGATGCTCAATTGATGTTAGCCATTATTTTTGCAGTCACTTTAATGAGCAAGGCAATCTTCAGGACACACTTAGTCTGTCCTCAGATCTGAATCAGTATCATTTTACCCTGCCCTGGATCTCTGAGAAGGCACGACACTAAATGTTCAACCCTTGAGAATGGCCAGAGGCAGGACCAGTAACATGTGCCTACAAAAACCCTATGAAGAATTCAGTGCTTTACTCTACCACTGCAACATGTTGTAGGTTGTTTATTAGCAGGAAGATGGTGTATTGTATATATACACATGTGATTTTGTAGCAAAGTAACTTCTTAGAAATGTTGAGATAGTGTCAGGCCAGCCCTTCTCTTCAGTACCCAGATGTTCCTGTTTTGTGTGTGTTTACCATGGTCGCACTCCCAGCACCTTATTGTCCTTACCTTATGCAGCTGATCCTCCAATAACAAGAAAAGCCACGCCAGAATTACCACCTTGCATCTGGGCAGTGATAATGCCAAGGCCACAGGGCCTGAACTTGAGTGCTTGCAGTTTAGGTTTACTCTTTTCAGCTACTGATTGCTCCCTAATCCTGAGCAGGTGCTTCCCATCACCTTATAAGTATGTAGGTGGGTGAGCAAAGTCATTTCTGATGGAAAAGGAGCTCAGAGTTCATGAATTGGGGATGGTGGGCATGGAGGGAGGCCTGACTGGGTGATAACAGGGCATGATGTAGAGGCCATTTTAAGCTGTGGTTGGGATGTGACCTGATGAGTAACACAGATGAGGATGGAGACTTAAAGAGGCCAGGACAGGAGTCAAGGGCAGAGAAGTAAAAGGGCTGAAGAAGTCATCCATGGCTTTGGGAAAGTGGGCCTTAATATCTGTAACAAGGCCTTCCTCAGTACTTAAGCCTGCCTTTTTCTTCTGCAGTTACGCTATGATGATGAGGTGAAGCGGGTGGTGGCTGAACCAGTGGAATTGGCCCAAGAGTTCCGCAAGTTTGATCTGAACAGCCCATGGGAGGCTTTCCCTGCCTATCGCCAGCCCCCTGAGAGTCTCAAGCTTGAAGCCGGAGACAAAAAACCTGAAACCAAGTAGTTTCAGGGAAGGAATGTGTGTCCTAGAACGCGCCTTATCTATAATTGAGTGTCCCTGTAAATAAAATCCTACTTAAACTCACCACTTCCTGTGTGTTTATCATGAGTGGAAGTGAAGCTTCAACTCAGGAGAAGGAGGTGGTGCAGGCAGGGGTTTGCCGACTCTGTTAGAGAGACTTTTCCAAACCAGGAGTCCTTTTTTAATAAGACTAAATAACGCAGTTGCAGACAGGGTGACCTATAGGCCTGGATGTTCTTCTGAGGGAGATTCTAGATCTGAAATTTAAAGTTCTCACAGTCCACAGGACTCAGGATGGGCGTGGCATGGCCTCTCCTGAGAGTTAGAGCAGTCTTTTCAACGGCTAGAGAAAGCCCCTGGTCACAGGAGACTGGTGGCAGCTGACGGACTCGGGCCTGGGTGGAACGAGGGCAACCCCCACCCACCCTCATCCTATCCAAACAACTACAGGGCTCCAAGAGCCCAGGGCCAAAGCCAAGAAGAGCTGCAGCTCTTTTGAACCCTGTGTCCTGCTCCCTGCAACCTGACAGCCCATTACACTTGGGCTTAGGGAATCTTCCTGGACTCTGGCCTGAGCTGAGAATGCTATAAGCAAGCAAAGAGTGTCCAAGTCTGGGGCCAGAGACAATCAGGAGCTGCAGATCTGTGTGTCTGCCTGCCAGGGAACAGTACTTCTCACCCCAGCCAGTCTGGGGTCCGTTCAGCCAGTGGCTGAATGCCTGACATGGAAGTTTTTGCTCTGCCTGTCAACAGTCTGCTCAGCACACCCGCCATTGCAGTTGGAAAAGGCTTTGCAGCTGTTGCTCTTGGCTACTGAGGGGCTCTGGAGGCTGGCCCGGGCTGGGCTGGGCTGGGCTGGGCTGGGCTGGGATGTCATGGGCTGGGCTCAGCTGCAGAATGCTTTGGGGGTGAGGACAGATAGTAAGGTAGTACTACTTCCTGGGCTCTTTCCTACCTCTTGGGAGGGCTAAGCTAGTGCTCTTTGCTACCAAACACCTTTTTCCTATTGACAGCATCCCACCCATCTGGGCAGGAATAGGCATAGGGCCTGACAAGCAGGGAGCCAGGCTCCTACTGCCAGCAACCAAAGATTCCACATTTCTATGGGATGGAAAGAGCCCCTGGGAAGCCAGAGCCAGCCCCTCCCTGCTGAGCGCTGAAGACTGACACGCAAAGCAGGGAACGCTGTAGCTGTCTACAGTGGAAAGTTGGAGCCCTGGTGTGTGGCAGGCGGATGGAGGAGCAGAAAGCAGCTGGGGAGAGTAAGACTCAGAGGACCTGCTGGGGCAAGGCTGGGACAATGCAGTTCCTGGCTTGGCTAATGGTAGCCACTTGCCTCCTCCCTGGGGTGACTACAACTCAGCACCATGCAGGTACCGGGGCTTTAGATGGGGTGGATGGGGGCCGAGAAAAGCTGTCAGCTGACAGCTGTTACACTTGGTTCTGTCTGAGCCTAGCAGGGTTTAGGAACTATGAGCATGATGAGTACCAGGCTGACCTGTGCTTCAGTGGGGAATGGTGTGGGCCCCAACCCCAGAAGCAGAAAGGTCCAGGTGAAGTGAATGGAGATAGCCCTAGGTGCTCTCAATGGGCCTCGGGCTTATTCCAGCTGATGTACAAAGTAGGACCTCTTGATCTGCCCTGCGCTTAGGACAATCATTCCAAGGGCTAGGCAGCACCCCCAAGAGGGGTGAAGGAAGCTGCAACAGACATCCTGCCTTGCGTGGCCTCCCTGCCTTGCACACGGTCACTTACTGAGGAGCAGGGAAGGAATAGGTTTTTCTCAAAGGGATCCTCAAACTTTGAGGAGGGTCACTGGCACTGTTTTAGGTCACGTTGTCTCCAGATGATTATAGGGAGGGGAGATGGGAAGTGAAACGTCTTGTGACCCGTTGGCCTGGAACTCTTGGCTAAGGGAACTGTAGAGGTTCAGGGAGGAGTCCCGGACATTTGCCGAGATGGTATCTGGGTTTGGGATGATGCTTTTGGGATCATAAGACCTATGCCTGGGAGAGTGAATGTCAACATGCATTTGTGTGTAGGGGAAGGTGGACACGGGATGGCATTCCTATTTTCTAGATAGAAGAACCTCTAAGCACCTCTAGGCACTTCTGGGAGGCTGGGGTGTTCAGGGTGGAGCTTGGCAGGGGCCTGACTCCTCTCTGCTGCCCCAGGGCAGTCCATGGACAGCACCATCGTGGGAGGTGGCCTGCAGAAGCCAGAGGCCCCGGAAGTGATGTTTGAGGTCTTTCCTCCAGCCTGGGACATGGGGGTGGGGGTGTCCAGAGGTCCCTAAACTCTGGGTTGGGGTGGGGGATGCCTCAAGCTGGGGTTGCTGGCGGGGGGGAACCCAGCATGGGTCCTACTGCCTGCTTATGCCCCACTCTGGCCCACTCTTGCTTCCTGTCCTGCTCCCTAGGCCCAGCCCACCCCTTACGTGGCTCCCCTTGCAGCTGCTCTGGGCTGGGCTGGAGCTGGATATCATGGGGCAGCTGCACATCCAGGACGAGGAGCTGGCATCCACACATCCAGGTCGCCGACTCAGGCTCCTCCTGCAGCACCACGTGCCCAGTGACTTGGAGGGAGCTGAGCAGCAGCTGCAGCAGTTCCAGAGCCTGCGGAAGGGACCTCCTCTTAGCCCCTGGGACTTTGAACATCTGCTCCTCACAGGCCTGTCCTGTATCTACCGTCTCCACGTGGCTAGCGAGGCTGAGGTGCGAGGTCGCTGGACCCAGGTCTTCACCCTCCTGGCACAGGAAACACTCTGGGACCTGTGCAAGGACTTCTGCCCGCAGGGCCAGCCCCCTTCTCTGGGGCCCTGGGCCTCTACCCTTGACCCCTTGCCCTAACCCTCCCCTTCTGTCTGTCATTCTCCCTCCCCCCACTCCTCACCTTAGCCAGACCCATTTGGGCAGGGGCTTCCATCTGGCACCTGGTTCTTCCCACTGTGTTCAGGCCTCTGGGCTTGGCTTGTACCCAGGACCCCGCTTACCCCTCCCTCATATCTCCTTCCTGGGCCCATGCTCTGGGGCTTAGGCAGCAGGCACAGACATAAGGGCAGGACTTGCAGGCAGTGTGTGTGTGTGTACTGAGATCAGGGTTGAGAAGTGTGTTTAAGAAATGCTGAAAGGGAAGTTGCTCCCAAGTAAGGCCAGGTCAGACCCTCCAACTCTTACCCTGACAGTCCATGAGAGGTCCTATGGAATCTACAGGGAAGTTGTAAGTGCTCAGTGCCCAGTCCTGCTTTAGGTACCCTCTTAAACCCAACCAAGGCTCTGGGGTCCCTGAGTCTCCAAGTCCCCATCTGGGCTAGGAGAAGAGACTAAACAGACTGGACATTTTTAGTTCAGTCTGTTGGAGGATAGGAGGGAAGCAGGTGGAGGACTATTACCTTTTCCCGCGCAGATGTTTTTTGGTGCATCTCAACAAGACTCAGAGGAGGCAATGAGGCTGGGAGGGGACTGAGGCAGGCCGGTGTAGCCCTGATCCTGTGTAACTCACCCCATAAAATGTTTTCTTCTGGCCTCCTGGAGCCCTGTGTCCTTCTGTGTCAGAGTAAGTTGTTTAACCCCTGCCCTGACCAAATCACCCTCCCCATCCCGGCAGAGCAGGAATCAGGGCAACCAGGTATCAATCAACTGCTCATCCCATTCACAAGCCACTGGAAGAAGAAATGTATTGTTTCCTTGAATCCCATACCCCTCAGTGAGGCAGGAGGTGATGTCCTTTGTCACAAAAAGGAACCAGACGAGCCCTAAGAATGATGTTGTTGGTCAACAGGGAGTTGACTGGAAAGGAACATGAAGGGAGTCCCACAACGGGGTTAGGCGAGTAGGGGTCAATCAAATTCCCACCCCCTCGTCCTTCCAGGACCTGACCAAATCCTGTCCTCTGCCCTCCGACCCCCAGCCGAGACACAAAGCGCCGCAGTCAAGACACAGCGTAGGACCCAGGCAAACAAGCGCCGGCGCAGGCCCACTTTATTGGCAGAGCAGCCG